CAGGACGTAGGCGATCATGACCCTCCACTTCTTCCTGGCCGTTATAGTTTTGTCTTTGTGTTATTTCTCCCAAACTCTGTTCTGCCAACCATTTACTCATGTTCATCATGTTACGCGCAGCTTTCCTCTGTCCCTCTTTCCTTCAATCTGTTCTGTGAGTATCAGATTCTTACTTTTACGGAATGACTGAACCTTTCAGAGTTTATCACTGTTGAGATTTATCGCTGTACGACGTCACTATTCGACCAAGAATATCTCTGTGCCACAATAAGGCGATTAGATCGAACTTCGCAGAATTACACAATTGAACAGCGAAGAAAGAAAAATTAAATGAATAAATACTAGATAAATAAAATAGAAATTACTTTCATTTTGATTACATCCGAATAAAAACTTTCTTCAAAAAAATAAAAAGAAAAAAGAAAGAAGGGAAAATAGAAAAAAGGAAAAAAGAGAAAGAAGGAATGAACAAGAAAATAGAAAGAAGAAAAAATAGAAAGAAAGAAGGGAAATAGAAAGAAAAATAGAAAGAAGGAAAAACTGAAAAAAGGAAAACTAGAAAGAAGGAAAAACTAAAAAAAAGGAAAAATAGAAAGAAGGAAAAACTGAAAAAAGGAAAAATAGAAAGAAGGAAAGATAGAAAGCATAAAAAATAAAAGTAGAAGGTAAAATAGAAAGAAAGAAAATAGAAAAAAAAGTAAATAGAAAGAAGAAAAAATCGAAAGAAAGACAAAAAAATCGAAAGAAAGACAAAAAAATCGAAAGAAAGACAAAAAATAGAAAGAAGGCAAAATAGAAAGAAATAAAAAATAGAAAGAAGGGAAAAAGAAAATAGAAACAAGGAAAAATAGAAATAAGGAAAAAAATAGAAAGAAGGACAAAAAAGAAAATAAAAAGAAGGAAAAATAGAAAGAAAGAAAATAGAAGGAAACACAAAAAATAGAAAGAAGGAAAAATAGAAAGAAGGGAAAAAGAAAATAGAAAGAAGGAAAAATAGTAAGAAGGAAAATAGGACAAAGTAAAAATCGAAAGAAAGAAAAATAGAAAGAAGGACAAAAAAACAAAATAAAATGAAGGAAAAATAGGTAGACGGAAAATATAAAGATAAAAAAAGAAAATAGAAAGAAGGAAAATAGAAAGAAGGACACAAAAGAAAACAAAAACAAGGAAAAAATAGAGAGAAATAAAAATAGAAAAAAGAAGATAAAAAGAATGAAAAATATAAAGAAGAAAAAATAGAAAAAAGGAAAAATGGAAAGGAGGATAAAATAAAAATAAAAATAAAAAGAAAAAGAAGGAAAAATAGAAATTAATAATGTTTTATTTGAAATTTTTGTTTATTGATGTTTTCAAGTTTTCGATAAGAAAATCAATATTCATTCCACATCTCAGATATTATTACCTTTCTCAACATTAAAGTATAATATTATTATGGAGATTTTCCCATATGCTAAATATACATGTAGACTGGTGCAACAAAATCAGACAAAGAACTGTACCAAATAACAGTAACCCCATCGCTTGAGGATTTTCAACAGCAGCAACAACTAAAATGGATAGCACACGTAACTCGAAGAGAAAATAATGACATAGTCAAGATACTGATATTTCACACTACTTCAAGTAAAAGGTTCGGAAGGACACCTCCACCAGTACTGGAAAGAGCGATAAAAGTTGCTGGATTTGAAAAAAAAAAAAAAAAAAAAAAAAAAAAATTATTTTCCTGAAAAATTGTTTTAGAAAAAAATTGATAAATTTCAACCGAAAGTAGCACTGGCTGCTCGGTCAATGAATGTCGACCGTTTTCTTATAAGGAAACGGCTAATATTACCATTACCACATATCAATCCCTCCTTAGGCACACAATAAAAAAGACTATTACTAAGTGTAAAATTGAAATAGAGAGAAATTGTTTATTTACAATAATTAATATTAAAAGAAGAATGGCGTTGGTGCTTCCTCGGAGTATTCTTTTAAACGTTTAAAGAAATTAAACCCAGTAAATAGAAGTTCATAAGAAAGTGGGGACTTACTGTAGTTGGGTGGGGGGAGTTAATAAAATTCTTGCTAGAGAGATTAAAGTGTCAACAAAATTCACGATGTGTTTGATAGGCCAACACAGCCATGTTGTCCGTTTGTTGAATGGAATGATTTGCATAATTATTGCCGTTCGTGAAAAAACTTTCAGAAGTTGGTACGGCCTTATAGATTCGATCTGGTTGTGTGTTTGTCTCAGACAAACATTATCAATATTATCTGTTTTTAACATTTTTGCATATTGTTCCTGGCTTCTTTGTGGGTTACGGACTATCTCAGAGTCCAGCGTCAATTTTTCTCAACTCACTGCTAAAGTTTTTTGCTTACTTTATCTAAAGTTTATTGTTCTGCTGACCACATCATTTCTCATCGTCATAAACAGTACCACGATGAATGGTAATTTAAGCTGGCCGATCGCTTCCGTTATATTCAGGCTCACTAAGCTACTTTTAAAAAATGTCTCAGGTTTTAAATTCCGTCCTTCTAATTGGTTGAAATTGATCTTGAGAACGAGATATATTTTCTAGTAGATTATTTTTCTTCATTACTCTGAACAATATCTAGTGTCACCATAATCAGTCTCAGCAGCAAGGATTCTAAAAAACGTCCTATCCGAAACAACATTGCTTGGAAATGATTTCGCTCGAATTAGTTGAAAGGGGCAATAAGGCCGTTTTTTTCACATAATTTTTTATATTATTTGGGCTCATACAATAACAACCAATTAAATATATCTTTTTTTTTTAATTTGGACGTTGAAGAATGATCCAGTAATCCAGATTTATTAATTATAATCTACTATGTAAAATTTCAGATAGAGTATATCTGTAAAAGGACAATAAAGAGAAAAGAGATACTTATTTTAGCCGATGCGTTTCATCCTCCGAGGGACTGCATTTGCTTTGATAAAGTCCCACAGAGGAAGAAACGCGTCCGCCAAGATAAGTTTTCTTGTTGTCTTTATTCATAATCTACTATATAATGATTACAGTTATGTATTTATTTATATCTTTTGTGCCACACTCTATAGAAGGAAGATCGGTAAATCAACTTAAGGTAGTAAATTTATAAGAAGTTACTTTCCTTAGTCATTTTAATAAACTGTACAAGTCAAACGTTTATCTTTATTTAGAGAAAATTCGTTCTCGGGCAAAATGAACCGTTTAATTAATCCGTTCCCTTAGTTTTTTAGACTGCAGTCTTATTTGTTCAAGATTTTCTTGAGAGGTATTCAGATATCTTTGTCTGCTCTGTAATCGGCTTGCTTCAGCTTGGTAAGCTTTGTCGTCACCATTTTTTCGTCCTGTCGCTAATCTTTTTCTTTTGAGGGGTATTTCGATTTCGCGTCACTATTACATTAAACACATGAAGTTTTAGCATGAAAAGCTATTGAACAAAAAGTGATTTGTATAGCGCCAAGAGTAATTCTTATCTCCCAGGCTGTTGGGATGAAAAAACAAAAAAACAACAAAAAACAAACAAAACAAAAAATGAATGAAAATAAAATACAAGTGTAATTTAACACATAAACAACCTTTATTTATTCAAGATCTAAGAACAACAAGGACTGCATGGATTGAATTCAATTCAGAAGTGGCGTGCTCGTCTTCACAAACAAGGGAATAACTCAATTGTATTTTGAGTTACCGTCCTTTATAGGGGAAGGAAATTAACTTCCATTAATAATAAACAATGAATTATAGATACCATTGACCATTTAAAAAAGTATAAATGGAACGGATTAATTTAATGGTTTATTGGCTTCTATTTTATTTGTGAATTCTAGACCTCCGTTTTATTGGACCTCAATACATTGTTTCAAAACTTTTGTTTCGTTCCATCTCAGTACTAAAATTTTCGGCACAGGTACACTAGTTATTATTAATAATTAAGTCGAATCCTGGTATAACTAACAAGTCAAACGTTACAGAAAGGGAAGCGACTTTCTGAGTTGCAAGATTTATTTTCGATTCTACGGGTCGAAATTCCACCAGAAAAATGTTTCAATATTTTATTAGGGTTTTGCGTTTACCAAATATATGTGGATGACCTTAGTAGTACTCGTCGTAGTTATCCAAGCATTTATAATAAAAATAAAATAAAAAAAATCGGATAAGGAGAAATTAGAAGAACGTAATAGTTTTTTTATTATTTTGTTTTAGAAAGTGAACATGTTAACAAAGTGTAGAAATATGTTACAGAAAATATGTTGGAGAAAAATCCAAACGTGAAAAGGAAAGTTAAGGGATGTTAAAAACATATCTTTATTTACAATTCGCCTGTTGCAAGAGGCTGTGCCTTTTCCCATGCGTTAAGAAAACATCTTTTCATGGCAACTGCCTTAAAACTGTTATATTTACTGTCTGGTCTTTACTGACTGGTTGTTAAGGGTTACATGATCGCCCATGCCTAGCGCATACTAATTGAGAAGTAAAGTCAACCCAACAAACATTCACATATATTTACGACATTTTTATTAAAATATCTTTTATTTACATCTCTGATATATATATATATATATATATATATATATATATATATATATATATATAGAATAATAATAATAATAAAACAGCGGCCCCAAGAATTAAAAAAAACAAGCTCCACTGTGTTTGTAGCATTTAAGGTTCGATTTTCTGATGAAATTATTTTTTAAAATGATTAAAGACAGCACAAAGTCGGTTTAATGAAAAGCCCTCCATGCGTAAGTGTGGTTTGAGACAAAAAACTTTCAGCTTTCAAGCGGTCAGTGTCACAAAGGAATCAGGTCGGCCTGCGTACTTTCCTTGTTTGTGCAACGGGTTGGTGCTACTCTTTCATAGGTATCTGCTTTTGTGACCTGTTTTGCTCAAGATTTTCGTCCTTGTTATTAGTTACCATTTTTGAGTGATCTATCTATCTATCTATCTATCTATCTATCTATCTATCTATCTATCTATCTATCTATCTATCTATCTATCTGCTTACGGCCACATCACGTTGAAACTCCGTTTCCCGTACGATCACTGAAATTAAGCAACGTCGTGCCTATTCAGTAACTAGATGGGTGACCGATTGGTAATACCAAGTGTCGTAAGATTGGATGTGCTGGTGGTATATTGGATAATGGCTCGGGATTGTTAATCGGAGAGCGGTGTTGAGTTCATTATATTCACTTACGCGCAAATACCATTGTGAAAGGTATGGAGCCACCTCTTCTGTCTTCAGTTATGTGTTAATTAATAAAACTTGTATCGCTAAAATTATCTATCTATCTATCTATCTATCTATCTATCTATCTATCTATCTATCTATCTATCTAATATCTTTATATTAATCTATCATCTATCTTTATTCTATATTCTATCTATCTATTTGTCTCAATCTGTTCATATCTATTAATCTATCACATATTTGTCTTCTTACAGTTTCATCAATTTTCTGATTTTTTCATATTAAAACCTAAGTGTTGAATGCTTAGAATATACAAAGAGACCAAATCATTATATAAGATACCCCAAAGGTGACGTCCGATTTGTACTAAAACAAATTTATTTATGGAAAAAATAAATATCATGAACATATATATGCAATGCAATATAGATAAAATTCAATGTGACCCTTGTACATTTCGATGCATTGATTTATTTTTTTAAAAATCTTATCACCCCTATCAAGGCGATAAAGCCACTAAGACGCAAAGGGGGGTTGTCGAGGGTGAAAGAAACTAAGAAAACGTCGAGGAGAGAGAGAATACAATAAAAGAACGGGATTCTAGAAGACAGATGGTGACGATTGAAGTTAAATTTAAATTTTTGAAGATCGTAGTTGACAGGTAAGCAAGAATCCGGAACAGAGTTCCACAAGCAAGAAGTGCGAAAGAAAAAACTACTGTCATAGAAATTCCGTAACAATTCACGTAACAATTTCAATAGTAAAATGATTATATGTAGCTGCCAATCTAGTACTGTGCTTAAATTCGTGAAGTCAATGTACAAATTAGAAGAATCACGATGAAAATATTTATAGAAAAGGCAGACAAGGAAGCTACGTTAAAGCGGCAGGGAAGTGATTGAAGCCGAGATGCTAGGTAAGGACCGATAACATTGCGGATTCTTCTTTGGATTCTGTCAATATATTAAAGCATAAAATCAGATGTAGCAGCGTTATTCGATGCACAGGCGAATAGTAAATCTATAAATGTGCAAGATAGATTCCGACGAGAAAAATTTACTCGCATGACTAGGTGAACCAACTTTCCTAGCAGCAGTATTTGTTATTCATTCAATATAGTTCCACTTCAAAGTTGACTGGATGCAAGAAGCCGGAAGAGTGTTCCACATGCTAGAAGTGCGAGAGAAGAAACTTTTACTATAGAACTTACAGTTACATCTAGCCATTTCAATCGAAAATGATGAGACTTTCTTTGGATTCTGTCAATATAGCAGAAGCACCAGAGCAAATGTGACAGTAATATTCAATGCATAGATGAAGGATAGACTTATTAATATGTACCACCGCAGAAAACGCGATACCTAAAATGATTTAAAAAAAAAAAAACTTTCTTAAAGATATTATTTTAGTTTTAATTTCAAGCTAATAATTAAATTTAATATTTCTAATAAGCAAAATACTTTGCTGTATTTCAAAACTGATTTTAATTGACCGGAAGGAAGTTTTTTTGTGGCTAAAATAGCTGATTAGTGACATTTGTTTCATTCGTCTTTCATCCCAATGTAATTTTCTTTATTAAAAAAGCTTCCAAAAATTAAATATACTTTTCTGAAACTTAATTTGAGGAATATTAGCTGTATAGTTAATTTGATTTGAAACAAATATTATTTTAATTTAAAAATATCGCAGAAATACATTTTTAACACAGTGGTAGCTGTTTATTTAAGCTGTTGGCATGTTTGTTAGCTTGATGACAGATGTGTTTACTAATATTGTTCTATGGATGCTTTAGCCGTAAAAATAATTGAATATAACGTGAGCGACATTTATATATAATTTTTAAGTACTCATTAATTTTTAAAAATTTAAGAAAATATTCTCCGTAATGTAGTGGTTTATTCAATTTTAGATACTTTCTGGCTTTAAATTTACTATAATTATTGCTCTTATTTTCTGATAATGTTGTGCATGGGCGTCCGTATCTACAAAAATTGGTAAGTTTATACACATACAAAAAAATTCAAAATTCTTTATAAAATATTCGTGTTTGAAGATTTTTACTTAATAATAATATCATCTAAAAGGGTGAAATTAATACAGAATTTTAAAAGATTTAAAAAAACTATTCTAATTAAAATAAAAATGAAAACAATTTTTGCAAAAATTCATTATTCAACGAAAAAAACATTATTCTTAAGACAATAGTGTCCTTTATATATCTTATTTATAAAATCAATTAAAAGCTTTTTCTAATTACATAATGTCATAGTTTTATTGCAATTTTTATTTTACGATTCATAGGAGATTTTCGGTAAATGGGATTTCTGTTTGACAAAAACAAATGATGATTTAAATTTTACATGGAGTCCTGTTTTAACTAATATAAATATGAAGAGGGTGGAATTTTAATTTCTCGAAATTTCATAAAATTAAGTAAGTGGAGGGTAACAGATGTAAAAAAATATTTTTACCAAGATTTTTAAAAAAAATATTAAAAATAATTTAATTAGTTTGTGAATAAGTCCTGAAAATTTCATTAAAATTATTTGATTTTTGCAAAAATGCAATTTTTGTAATGTGTTTTTTTTTAGCTCGAAAAGACTCTAAATTTCTCCTACTAATTATTGTTCCACCCACTGAGAAAAGAAAATCAAGATTGTTTTAACCAAAATTTCGAACGTGCTAGAAAGGATTAGAAAATTTAATAAAGTAATCAAAATTATTTTGGTATTTCCGCTTAATAATAACAAAGACATTTTAACGATAAAACTTTGTTTTTATCAAGTTTGGGATCTTTTTAATGCTCTCAGTTATTATAAACCATTATCAAACATTTTTGTGTTAATAATATTATGATTATATGTTTGTATTTTTTGTGTGTGGTATGTCGGTTTTATAGTTTTTCTGATATCGCATCTTTCGCAATACATCGTGTTAGTCTTAGTTTGTTCTTTTGTATCGAAATTTTGGCGTTATCTACTTATAAAATTATAAATTATATAAAATTATAATTTGTAAAAAACATTCTATTTGCGAAATAATATTGACCAAAAAAGTAGTTGATGTTTGCTTATATCTATCATTTACTTTTTAAAGAGAGTGTATGCAAAATTATGTTTTGAAAAAGGTTTTTCTTTTATTTCTTTCTTCTGTTTTTTGCTGTTTGGTTGAGAAATCGTAGAAGCATTCGAAATTTAAAGAAATGTACACACACAAAAGAAAAAAAACAAAACAAAACAAAACAAAAAACAAAACAAAACAAAAAAACAAAACTATAAGTAAAAAACTGATGATGCCTTTTCTAAGAAGCTAAACAAATGAACGGGTAACTCACCTGCAAATGCTTTAATTTTGTTTTGGGCCTTGAACTTAAGGTTCATACACACGCTGTGTTTATCCGCTTTATCTAGAGGGCGTTGTTTGATGTACGACCACAGCGCTTGTGTTGCTCTTAACAAATGAACATTTGCAGTGAAGAAAGTTTTAGAAGAAAGAAATGATATACAATAGAACATTTAGCAAACTTCCGTATCAGTCGGCTGAAAAACAATCGAAGCCACTCGTAAATTCAACATACGCCGTTAGCAAGGATACGGACAAACGGATGACTTTTTAAGCAGCTGAAAAAACGCTGCTTTTTTGTTCTGTGTAAAACATAGTTATGTATTTTTTATCATTTCGTTTGTAGTCTAACTTAAACATTAAAAAAGTTCTACACAAATTCTCGGCCCCGCATTTTCTACGTCGATTTTGTCTATTTCATTTCATCATTAGCTTAGAGGCGATTTTTTTTTTGTTTTACTCTTACTTCTTATAATTGTCTATGCGAAAGAATCTGTTAGAGTCCGAAGTATATGGACAACGCCGCATCGTTCGAGAAATCAAGCAGACGGCAATGTGGAACAGTTAAGAATCTTTATATTTTTCTATAAAAATAACAAATATACAATAAAACAAATTCATTCAATTTAGTATTATCTAGCAACAAGAAAGGATGGCTGTGTGCCGTTTTCCTTTAATAAAAGGCGTGCCATAAAAACGTCGAAGAATAATATTAGCTGAACATTTGGTTTGTTTTTTTTCACGGTATATCCACACTTCAATAGGTTATTTAATGCCGACTATTTTTTTTAGGATAGCTTTGTATAACTAGAATATGTATTCATTGTAAGAAATCAGTTTGTAGGTCAGGTTTCATAGACGTATATTTGTAAAGAGGATATTTTCGAGAGTAAAATGTCTTGCTAGAAATATTTTTCCCAAAATGTATCGTTGGTATATTTACTATAAAAATCTAGTTTTTACTTTCATAGTGTTTTGACCCCAATTTGGGGGTTCACTATTTGCCCATAGCTGGGGCCCTAACAGGTGCTACCACACCGGGTTAGGGAGGACCTGGGAACATTAGCAATTAAGAGATGGTTCCACGCTCCTCCCAGGATGATTCACTTTTTTTCTCAATAATCTCAACCATTTTGTACACTTGTAAATTCTTCAATGTCTAAGAATAGCGTATTCTCAAATATGTGTAAAAATTTTTTACCAAGATTTTCTAAAAAGAAACATTTAAAAAATTTCTAAATAAATCCTGAAAGTTTCATTAAAATCCACCATTTATTTGATTTTTGCAAGTTTCCAACTCAAAGTGCTTTTCTCTGCAAAAAGACGCTCAAATTTACTGTAGAAATTTATGGTCTCGCGTTGACGCCGAAAAAACAAGATATTTAATCAAAATTTCGAAGAATTTAAAAAAGAATTAAAATAATAATTTTTATATGAAAAAGTCACTTGATCTTTCCTCTTAATAATGACATAAAGATTTTGACAATAAAACATTGTTTTTATTAAGGTTTTGGCATTTTTTCATCATGCATGCTCATATTTTAGCGAATCTTTGGAGGCACATAGTCATAATTACACATC